GAAGTTCCTCCATTCATTGCTAAGGTGTTGGCTGACAACTATCATGGCACAGTTGACTTTCCTCATGAAACCATGAGTCCTTTCATGTGTAATCATTCTTGCTATTTGGCTCTTCCTCCTACAAATAAATCATCCTTTCAGAGAATGCTGCAACATCTGGTACTGTATGTCCAATGGAACTGCCACAGACCAGCCACTGGGATCCGACATTCCTGCTGTTTTCATTCCAACATTCCTTTTCGTCCTCATTTCAATGGGAAAAAGTAAACGTTTTTATTTGCAGAGATGTACTTACTTAAAAAGCAATTGTGAAAGTGCCTGATTTTGTCATGTATTAATTGGGATTGTATCTCCACCACTCTTTTTTTGAAAAAGATTTTCTGGTGTAAATTTGGAATTCATAAGTAATACCAAAGACTGAGGCAATGGAGTCAACGCAAACTGTTAAAAAAAAAAAAAGAACATAAATAACCGTCCCTGATATGTGTCAGTCACTGTATTAGGGGCTTTATGTATATATTGATTGTCTCATTTGAAAATCAAAACAGGACAGAAGAGTCAAATACTTTTGAATGTCCTGAAACTCAAATTTTCTTCCAGGTCATCTCTGTATGCTTCCAATCTCTTTGACACTACCATTACTGGCTTCCAAAACCACTAACACTCTCCAGATCACCTGGCTCCTAACATTTGCTAACCTGGGCATTGGTGAGGGGCTACCTGCTACCTTGTTCAAGGGCCAGTTGGCTCAGTCTTGAATGGTGTGACATCAGTAACACAAGAATGTTGTGTTGATTTGGATACAAAGAAAGAATCTAGACTTTTTAGAAGTTCATCTTGAAAAAAGCAAGCCTTCAAGGACAAGTGAGCCAAGAGAGGACACAGAGAAAATTCCTAAGGATGCCCATGGTTCAGAAAGCAAAGAAAATCTTATGATCTTAGGTGTCTTGAAAGCATATTCGTGAAAACGAAATACCAGCTATGAGGCATCTTCTGGGGAAGCAAAGAGTTGGGGGAATCCTGTAGTGTGTCTGGTAGCACTGTCAAAAGTGCAGTTGACTTCTTAGGTCACTGAAGGTGTTTCTTCCCTTGCCCCAGGAGAGTTTGATCTGCAGGACACCTTTTTTCTTGAAATAGATGCTGTGCCACAGTCTGTACCGTAAGTCTCTTGGGCGACACGATGAAATGGAAGTAACTCAGCTCCTCGCCTGGCCTCTATCTTGGTAGAGATTTAGAGAGAGAAGGAGAAAGCTGGTTTCTCCAAGACATCCTAGAATTCCTTTCTTCCACTGTTTGGGTTCAAAGAATTGAACCCAAAGTTAAAGTCCCCATTAGACCCACTCAGCCTTCCCTGGACTGATGGAATCGTAACTATTTCTACGTAGAATTTTTACTCTCACTTTCTTCTGTGTTCAATTTTCCATTGTTTCCAGGCTAGGAAGCAATCCTTTCTGTATAGAGTTGTCTGCAGGGATAAAATCAGATATGGTCTGAAGGAACCTCTGATATTTGAGACCATCAGATTCCTAGCATTTTGATGGCAGAAACTGTGGTTTTCTTATCTCTGAATTTCCAGTGCATTGCACAATTTCCTGGCATACAGTGAGCTTAATAAATCTTGTCAAATGGATAAACAAATGAATTTTTCTTTATTACACTCTCATTATAGTAGCATGGAATTATGAGAATGGTTTTACCAAATTAGGAGTAGATCCTGTTATGTTAGATTTTTCTATAAGTAATTATTCTTTTCAAACTACAGTGTCTAGGAACTGTCTTGCACAAAATATACACAGGATGCATAATTGTTTATTTGCTAGTTCATTTTGACCTATATACCTTGGGGTTTTCCAGTTATGTTTTCAAGAAAACTAGGGCTTTGTAATATCAGTGTTGTGTCTAATAGGTCTAAGTTCTGAGTTCTAAGGACAAACACAGTTATTGAATAGAACTTTCTCAATTTAATTGTTTTTCTTTTCCTCCAATAATTTTTTTTTTCTTAAACATTGGCGTTTGCTTGCCTGTTGGTTTTTAGTAGTCAAAACTCACACTCGATCTCAAGTACTTCCTTCTTGGCCCAATAGAATAACCTTTCACCTACCATTTGCAAAGTTGATTTATTTTGTTAATTTTGATCCTCCTAAAATATGACCTCTTGAATTTTTCATATGTCATATTGTGACACAGAGACCAAATACATATAATGGGATCATAGTTTTACCTGAGCAAATCATTCCTAGTTTTTACAATGGAATTAAGTTGTCACTATTTCATGGGTTTCTGTCAAACTACTGCAATTTCCTGGGCAAGTTCCCGAACTACTAGTATAGCTGAGGTTTAACAGTCTTGGACCATGTTATTAGCCAATTCCACTGGATTATTCCATCATGCTATTTCCTTGTCTGACAAAAGGATCTTTGTGGAAGCACACACTGTTTCTTCCCATAACTCATGTTCAATCGCAGACCCTGAATTTCTGCTTCCTTGATCAAGCCATGTTGGTGCCTACTCATAGGCAACCTCACCAACTTAAGTAGGTTTGGTTTGCTTTTCTGGGATACATTCTTTTTTAATAAAAAGGGGGAGAGATATCAAAGCAGAATTATCCTAGGAGATCATTTTCCTTTTTCCTTTTTGTTTTCTTACATGGGAAAAAACAGCTCTTAAGATTCTTATCATTTATTCATTCACGAAATATGTATTTTATCTGTGTCCACACTGATAAAGACAACTTACTAGATGTGGGAAACATACTGGTGATCAACGCAACCTAATCCCTGCTGTCCTGGCTTTATGATCCAGCAGGGAAGCTAGACTGCCCACCTATGGTTTAGAAAATAGTACAGGTTCCAACTCTTTCTAGGTTATTAAAAGAACCTAAGGTAGTTGCTCTAAATTTGGATCCATGGTAAATATTTTCAGCTATAACTCCATTGAGTGCTGAAAAATGGATCTATTTGTAAGATTCTAAAGCTCGTAAGTTCTGGGAGAATATTAATAAGTTAGAAAAAAATAATTGGTGCATATGTGGAGAATTTGATTCATTCTCTATTTTTTTTTTTTTGTTTCCAATATGTCATATACAAAAAGAAGAGCATAGTCGTATGTTAGATGGTAGGTAGTGCAATCATTTCTGATGAAAGATGATTTCAGGAAGACCAAAATTAAGAACCAAGACCCCAGTAAGGGGCATAGGGTTTCTTAGGTAATAGCCCCCAGTGGCTCATTCAGCCATATTGAAGAGAGTGGGGAAGAGGACAAAATGACCTGTGCCCTTTGTCCTTCAGATTGCCAGAAGGTCAAATGAAAAGCCAAAGGGGAGGTGCTTCATGTCCGATGTGTGTGATCACTCTTATGTATTTCTCACCTCAGATTTCAAGGTCCACACCCATCCATTCATTGGCCCTCCATGGAAAACACCCTTCTCCCACTCACAATGCTCACCCTTGGCCAGGGACTTTGGGCTTTGGTTGTGAGTTTCTGAAGTCAGGAGCCAAGCTTTCATCATCACTGTATTCCACAGCTACCATGGCTCTTGTCAAGACTTTGAGGGAGAATATCAATGTCAGGTGCATGCAGACATTGATTTAGGCCATTTCAATCATCTGGATGGTCACCATGGCAATCATCCACAACCAGTATTTAGGTGTGTGAAAAGAGTGAGACAATAATACTATGGCGTAGTCCATTCAGCTAATTCAGCCCAAGTCTAACAGAAATCTTTCCCATCAAAATTTTTCAGTATAGTAGTAACATCACATAAGAGGCCACAAGGTGGCTTGTGCTTAATATTGGGCTTATACAGTAGGGCAGTGCTCTTTAGGCTGACTGCTTACACTTTAACTAGTCTTATGGCAAGGTGTGGTTTTAGCATTTTCATTAAAAAAATCTGGAGGAGTAACATTGGATGGTTCTGGAAATTTTGCCTATTTGCATGTCAATAAATATTGTAGCTTGCCTGCATCATTATTTTTCTGATGCATTTCCAAACGCAATGCATCAAGTGAGCATGTTTTGCATTAAAAGCAGACATGCCCCTCCTGCTGGATAAACTATGCTGAGTGCTTTCCACATGACACAAAGTACTGGTATCTTGCTGTGGTTTCTAGGCTCCATCGCATAAACGGTGGAGTGCTGTGGTGAGAGAAAACCAGGGCAGGGAGGGAGTGAGCAGACTGGACTTTGACTCCTGGCTCTCCACGGGACAACTGAGTGACCCTGAGTGTATCACTTTATCCGAGCCTAGGATTTCTCATTTTTAAAAAGAAGTACTTGGGCTACATAATTTCTCCATGCCTCCTATACTCTAATTTCTGTTAGGTGGGTATTTTGTAATTAAGTGTCATGGGGAGGAATGTGAGTTGGAACCTCATTTTCAAGGCACTGAACTCAGCTCCTGCCCAGAGGGCCACCCCACTTCTGATCAATTCCATTGTCCTTGGCTACATAAATTGGAAACATTTTAATGTGTGTATGTGCGTGTGTGTGTGTGTGTGTGTGTGTGTCTGTCTTTCTGTCTGTTTGCCTATTTTTTCCCTGCCAATTCATAATTCGTCAGAAATGCTACACTTGAAATTACCACCACCTTTTACAGCCAAGGAAACTGAGGCATGATACCAAACAATGTCAGACCAAGTGAGATCTTTTTGAGAGTTTTTAAATGGTTTTGCCAATATTTCCATAATAAAATATTTGTTTAAATTCTTGGTTTTGGAGATGCGATGACTATCTCATTCTTTTCCTAATGTTACCTGAGTAGGCGGCCTCATTAATACACAATATGGTTTTGTTAAGAAAATTATTTCCTTACTTTAGAAAACAGTTAATCACTGGAGTGTTTTACACAAGGGGGCAATAATCCTAAAAATAACTTGAATGCCTTTCTCTGCTTACCAAACCAAAACCCAAAGCAGCCAACCAAACAAATAGCACAGCTCATCAATAATTTCTCCCTGCACTGGCCCAATCATGATTAAAAGTAAGAACAGCAGATAAATGTGTATCCTAGAAGAGATTAGCGGTACCATTTATATAGTGTAAAGTCATGCAAACCATGCTGAAAAGGAAGTGCTTCGTCGTGGCAACATGGGGAGGAAGAAGGCCATGGGAAGCCTCTGCCTGGGTGGAGGCCACCACGCACATACATGCATTCGATGCAGCCATTGGTGTCCCCGCTGGTAAGTGTCCGGTGTGAGAGTGAGTGAGCTGTACAAAGTCTGTTTACATTATAAGGAGGGGTCAGCCAGTGACCCCTTTTAAGTGGGCTTATTGGAAGGGGTCCATATGGAATCAGAAATCCCATCCCCTGTGGACGACAGAGGCATGGAGCCACTGGGCGTGAAGGGGTCCGTGTCTGTGTCCGTCTCACCCTCGGCGAGGTACCGCTTCTCCCTCATCCAGCTTGACCCCCCACTGGGGCCAAAGGCATAATCGTCTCTGTCCTGGGAGATGCTGAAGCCACTGGGAGACCGCTCCAGCTCCTCATGGTTGACTGACATTAGGGACAGAGGCGTATCGCTGTCCCGTGTGATGCTGCGTCTTTGCCTGGGGGAGATTCGGTCCGAGTAGGGCCCGTGCTGTTCAGCCTGGGAGTGGCAGCTCACTCGGGAGTCAAGAAGAGTCAAGATAGGCAGGACTGTGGGCCTTTCTGCATACGTTGCTGCTGAGGAAGGAAGAGTCCCCTGGCTCTTTCCAGAACTGGGTCCCCCTCGGGGCAGGTTCACAGGATCATGTGCAAAAAACCCATAGGGGCCGACTTTGTCGATGGGCACCTGGTGGAAGCTGTAGGGGGGTTCAGGGGCGCCCGTCTCCGAATAGTTGCAGATGATGGTTTTCAAATCAGAATACCTGTTGTCCTCTTTCTTCTCCCCCTCAGCTGGCGAGGAGGCCTCCTTGGCCGGGTAATACTCTGTGACGTGCACCTGCAGCCGTTCCATGTGCTGCATGTGCATATCCACGAGAAAGTCCAGTTTCTTCCCCATGTCCTGAACCTGGAAAACATCAGAAGCTGGAATTACTGCTTTCTCTGGAGGTGGGGGTCCTCGTTATTGGTTGGGAGGAAATATTATAGCATTTTATCTGCTTTGCAGAAGGGAAGATAATTCTTGCAAGTTTTAATAATAAGAACAGCAACTAATAATTTATTTCGTGTCCCCTACTCACAAGGCCTGCACAAGTATTAATGCCAATCTGGAAACAAGTTGGGTAATAAGGGCTTCCCATGAAGCGAAGGCTGAGAGCAGAGAGATGGCTTGAGCGTAACTGGTACAGGCCTTCTTTGTCCTCCAGAGGAGGGGCTGGCCTTGCTAATGCCACCTGGGCCAAGGAGCAGGAGTTCCTGATTGACAAACATGTCTTTAGATAGCAGCATGTGGATTGTTGGCGCATGTTTCTCCTACATGGTGATGTAAGCCCCAAAGATACAGGACGGTGGTTAGCAAGAAATGAGCTTCTCAGAACTGGAGACCCTTCCTAGGGGCCTTGAGGGACAGCGGAAGCTGCATCTGCTTTGTCTTCCTAAATTGGGAACTTATCTCAATTTTCGTGAGTGTATATTCACAAGTTTGTGCGCATATGTGTGTGTGCTTGCTCTGACAATTTACAACTCATCAGGAAGCATTGTCATCAGGTATATTAGCCTGTTTTACAGATGAGGACATGAGCACAGTTATAGGCGATGGCCAGGACGGCATCCCAGCCTCAACAGTAACTAACACTCACGAGCAGTCAGTACCTGACTCTGCTTGTTGACTCATTAAATTTTCACAAACTCTGTAAGGTAGACACTATTATTATCTCTATCCACAGGTGAGGGAACAGAGGCACAGAAGACAAAGTAGAGCTGAGATCATAAATTACATTTTAAAAATGAAAAACGATACTCTTGATATACCAAAAAAGAATAATTGAGATTTTCTCTTCCCTCTCCTGCACGGATCCCATTTTGGGTTTTGAATAAAATAAAAGGATTGATATGATCCTAAAGGAAATCGGTAGTGACATTTACCTAGTGCTAAGTTAGGCAGATGGTGCTAGAATATGAGCTAGCAAACTATGGAAGCAAGAGTGAGCTACACGGGTGCTGGGAGTGAGTTTCTCTTTCCACCCTGAGTGAACCTCACCCATAGCCTGCCCTCTTCCAGCCAGGCTTCTTCACACAGGACACCCACTGACCTGGACATTGAGAAAAGGAGGACCAAAGATACACAAAATGAAAAATAAGGGAGGCAGATCACTAATATTCCTTAAGGGACCACCACGAAGTGCGTGATAACAGCAGCTACCATTTGTTGAGTGTGCCAGCTAACATTCTGAGCAATTTACATGTATCAACTCACTTCATCCTTACAGCAACTTCATGAGATATTAAAATCCCCATATTACAAATGAGGAAAACTGAAGCTTAGAACAATTAATTAGCTTGCATGTGATCATCCAGTTAGTAAATGCTAAATCAGTGATTTAATTTCTACATTCTTTTTTGAATGGTAGATAGTATGAAGATTAATCAAGTATCTTATCTCCCTATAAAAATGGCATTTGAAAATAAATTTTATAAATTTGCTTTTTGGTGAGGGAAAGGAAAGACCTACCTGTCTTTCAACTTTTACAAACTTCCCCATCATGCTTTGGTCTTCAATTTCTGATGTGGATGCTCTGGCTACATATGGTTCATTCCTAAGAAAAAGCCAACACTTCTATAAGATCATTGTATCTATTTTGCTTTTCAAGGTTATTCCAGCTAGACAGGTCGGGGCCCATGGAGCCGTTATTGCCATCCTCATGTGTTTGCAGCCTGAAAGAGAACCACTCAACTCTGGAGGTGTGATATATGTGAGTCAGGAAAAGTCAGAATTTTCCTGCCTTCAACACTGGTATCTCATGCTTTCCTTCACTGCAGGAAAATCTGAAGCCAAATATTAAGCCACTACTAAGGAGCACTTGCTTTGTGTTAAAGTTAATAAAACACCTAACAGTGCCTAGAGTGTTTAATTCCTTTAAATTAAATTCCTTTGTTTTTTAGTCTCAGACTGCAGCTTGAGAACTTCTATTCTAAGTGAGTGTTTGTGTGGGGGGTGGGGAAGGGGTTATCAAATCTCTGAAATTATATATGGTGAGTATAAATATTTCATTTGGTCGATTTTGTTAAGAATGGAAAACAAATGCCGAATCTGGAAAATGGTACAAAAGCTAACATTGGTGGGGAATGGAATTGAGATGTGTGTTGAGTTTACTCTTTGGCTATGCACAATTAATATCTGCCTAAATTCCAGTTAGTTTCAATGTTTTCATGTTTTAGGTAGATGAGAACTTTCAGGGAGCCTAGTTATTGCTCAAAACCATTCACATTAGGCACTTTCTCGATAGGTGACTTTTCTCTCTTACAGGCTACTGAATCCTGGTAAATCCCTGGCCTGTCTTTGGCTGAGCAGTCTTGAATTAAGGCAGATGTCAAAAACTGGTGGCCCATGTGCTAAATCCAGCCTACTAGTGTTTTCCTTGGCCTGCATAAGGTTTTAAAACAGGTAAGCCATCTCAAAAATGGAGACTTTCACATAAAATCTGGATATTCTGCTTTTTGATAAATTAAATTATGTGGAAACAGAGAACTCTCATTCTTACAATTAGCAATAATAGAACAATATAACAATTACTTCCTTTAGATGGGTCCTCACAGTTCCATCACTCCCTATGGCATCCCCAGGACCGAAGCTGAAGATTAAATGCCTTTTTTCACCATGCTCATGCTTTTCCTTCTTTTATAAGAGGAAGGTGCATAATATTTCTTAAGCCTGACTCCCTCACTCATTTATGTTACATTCCTTGAAGACATTTGGGAATAAAGAGATGTAAATTCAGGTAGTAGACTTTCTAAAGGATACCCTGATCAAAAATTGAAAACGTTTTTTGGAGGGAGGAGAGCTGCTCTATGGAGGGACAAAGCGCTCTGTGTTACAATGTTGAGGGGGGCCTGACATTTGAGTGCCTTCTCTGGCCTTGTCCTGGCAGGGGTATCAGTCTGCCCAAGGATGACTAAGCAGGAAGAGCCAAGCAGCCGACTGACAATGCTATGGGCTCTGCTAACATGAAATGTTCTTGTTCCAATGACACATTTAAGTGTCCTCTTGTTTTATAATAAGGAAACTAGTGTGGTTATTTTCATTTTCAAAACCATAGAAAGAAGTATCACCCATATGATCTGGGAAGAGGGGCAGGAAGTCTTCTGTGCAGAAACCTTTCAAAAGGCCACCAACTGGAACAAGCTTCAAACTCTTTCTTCATTTTACTTAGGGGAGTGGCCACTTCACCCGCATGAAGGACCCAAGCTGAGATTTGGGGGTGGGGATGATCCGCAGGCCCCACCTGGGAGACTGCTGGGATGGGTAGGTGAATGCTGCCCCTTTCTGAGACTTCTTATGTTTCGGAGTAGATGGAGGTCCAGGGGTGAAAATCATATCTATTCTGAAAGAAACAAAGAAAAGAGGGATTAAATTACACAGACCCTTGTTTTGGCAGGAAAACAAATCATTCTATTCCCTCTGAAATCAGATATGGGTTTGGAATAGATAAGAAAAAGGAAGAGGGAGAGAGATACAGAGAGAAATAAAGAGAGAGAGAACCTATGACCTCAGTATATTCTTTTCCTTTCCTTTTTTTTTTTTTGTCTAGTGATACCGAGAACATCTTTCTATTCCAGGGGAGAGGGAGACAGACAAACCACTGAGCAGGGTGAGGGCTGCATCTTATTATTTTTTATAGGAAATACCATATGTGTGCAGCTCTTTTATCCCTCCTCCAAACATCTAGTTAGGGAGTTTTTGCAGCCAAATCCTAGGTTCCATTTTCAGCTGTGTACATCGCTGCTGCTCTGTTGGCCTCTCTGGCCATTAGAAGGATGGATCCAACACCAGCTCCTGCACCCAGGTTCCATTTCTGTGTGAGGTGCCAGCTCCCACCCTGTGCCAGAATCAACAGGAGAGAAATGTTTCTCACCATGCTCCAGGGCTTGGACGGGGAGCAGCCTCAAAGGCTCATCGCAAACCCAGGTCCATTATGGCTATGCACCTAGAAATAGCCATGGGTCCTTCTGTCTCCTCTCTGGAAACCCAGCTGCTCCTCCACAGACACCACCATCTACTAAACCAACCTTCCTTTTTCTCTGGCCCACTGCAAGATCGGCATGGCTGGGAAAATGCAATTAGTCGACCTTCAGCTACAACTCTTAGAAATATATTTGCCAAAAAATGGCAAAAACTATGACAGTGTGATGGTCCAGTCTATGCTCATTAAGATTGGCTGATATTTTTGGAGTCTGGTATGTCTTAGACATCATGCTCCCTGGCTCTGTCTCTCAGACATAATTAACAGCACATTAGGCTCAGAATTCGTTCGCACATGCATTTGTTCAGCAGGCATCGAACACTGTGTGCCTGCCACTATACCAGGAAGTCAAAGTTGATGTCCCAGTTAGAGGTAATGCAAGGTCACATGTAACCATAACTCCAACCCAGTCAGTGGGATGTTCCTACCCACTCAGCAGCCCACTCCAGTGCAGAAACATTCCTCAGACAAGGAAGCTAAGGCCAGAGAGGGTTCATACAAGTTGGAAGTCTCACACAATATGGGGTCAGAAAACGAAAGGTAAATAGCACGCTGGTTTCCTAACTGTGGTTCAGGGAATCTTGGCATCATATTGCCCTTTATTTTTGAAAATTTTTAAAGGGTATTTTTACAACTTATTAAATATTTGATAAATTTAAAAAGTAGGGAAAAAAAAAACAAGTCACAGATGAACTCATCATCTCAGTAGAGCCACTGTAATCTCTTGAGGGAAGTCCTGTTTCTTTCCTCTAGGCCCCCATATGGGAGAAGGTGTGCATGTTGTGTGTATTTCTGAGTAAACATATGTGTGTGTTTTTGTAATAATATCATACATACATATTAGTTAACATCATCTCAAGATCTAGAGTATATTTACTCTGTGATATATTACATATAATATATAAACATATATGTAGCCATAAATATATACATATGCATATGTATAAGTGTATAACATATGTCTGAGCATATTAGTAATCATAAATATTCATAAATCACATAATTTAAAAAAATCTCATGTATACGTTTTCTAAACATCATTTGGTGGTTGCATAACATTTTAATACGAACAGGTGCCATTTTTTTCTTAACCACTATTTCATAATTAAGGAAGTGCTGTGTTCTAGACAGACTAGGGACTTGGTAACCAGTCAGCCCTGGTCTGATTCCCAGCTCTGCTACCTACTAGCTACCAGCTGGGTAATTTGGCTTAAGTCCTTTGCCCTTTCAGCTTCAGTCTCCTCATTGAAAAAAAAGGCACCGCAATGAAATTCTTTTTGGGGTTATAAGGGATTAGACATATATAGGTAGAGAACTTAGGAGCTTAATAAAAATAAATAAAAATTGTGGCAATTATTAGTCGAGCATTGATGCTATTTCCATTTCACTAGCATAATACCTGATGAACATTTTTAATATGGTAAAAAATTATATTTATAATTAGCCAGCTGGAATCCATTTAGATGATCCTGATTCTGTTGGTGACATGGAAAGTAACACAGCTGGGATCCAGTCGAACACACACCTTCCCCTCTGCCTCAGGCCTGACCGGGGTGCTGACCTTGGCCGAAGCAATGTCGTAGAGCTTCTCCACTGCCTGTTTGATCTGTTGTTTGCTGGCCTTAACATCCGCAATGCTTGATGAACATTCTTGTTCTTGAAAAATTCCCCCTGCCTTTGGGTTATTTCTGGATGCTTTTCACCATAAACTCTAAGGTTCACAGGGCTTCGATTCCTGAGCAGTCAGGAGAGCAGCGTCCCCCCAGATGCGACTGCCTTACCTCGTCTGAAGGTACTTTATCCTGGAAAGCATGTCGAGATGCCCTGCGGAATACTGCTCGATCACATCCTTCACGTCGTAAGGCCTCAACGTCTCCTTGAATTTTTTTTTATAGAGACGGAATTGTAGAATTCTGTAAAGCAAAATAAAGGCATTTGCGTGTTATGGGTGGAGCGTGTGGGGAACTATAATATGAGGCTAACAAACACAGGGGCAGGGGAAGAAAAGAACCAAAGAGAAAACGTCTTTCTGTGGAGAACTTCCAACTTTTGGTTCTGGTGCTGCCCCTTCAAACCACACAGAGTTAGGCTGGGTAGTACCTGTCTGTCATGACTACCGCCCTTTATCATTTGAAGAGTAAGAAAGTCGTCATGATACGAGCTAATGTATGTTGAGAGCATTCAGTACGTGCAGACACTGAGTGTAATGTTTATGAGCTATCCCAATAATAGAGAAAATTATAGATGACACAGCTGTGATGCAGAGAGTTTCAGCATCTTCCCCATCTGGCTCATAAGGTCAGAGCTGGTCCTCAGACCCGGGCTGTGTGGTGACCAGCCCAGGCCCGTAATCGGTGTCAGCTGTTGTATCTCATCCTCAACAGCCTCTTTCATTCTTTGGCTTGTGAGCTCCTAAAAAAGAACACCTAGTTTCTGTTTCCTGAGTTTTCTCAGGTTCATTGTAAAGTGGGGCACCCAGAACTGGTAGGTGAGGTCAAACCCTCACCTCCATCCTTTATTGTTCCTTTCCTGGGAACCAGCAAAGTCACTCCTGATGGCTAACGCTCCCTGAGAGCCCCATCATGAAGTTAACTCCTGCTGTGCGCAGCCTCAATTAAAACCTGAATCACAGGTCAGTGTCAGGAGGCCACAGCCCATTCCAGACCCTTCCATCTCATGATTGCACAAGTCTTTTTTATTGTGCACTCAAAGTTCATTTTGTTTGTCATAGCTCATGGCTCCAACCTCTACACACTGTTTTGGAAAATTGACTATACATCTAATTGACTTGCCCTCCTTCTCAACTTCGTGTTAATTTAGAACCTTCCCTTTGTGTAGTTCCATCTAAGACATGAGTCAGCAGATTACAGTTCTCAGGTCAAATCTGGCCCACTGCCTGTTTTTGAAAGTAAAGTTTCATTGGAACTCAGCCACACACATTCATCGTATGTACTGTGTTGGGGCTCAGAAAACAATACCCCAAAATGAAGGCCTTGGAAGCAGCCTCAAAAGCAAAAGTTTTTCTCTGATCTTCTCCTGCCCTCCTGACTCCCAGGTCCGTTCTACCCCAGGGCAGTCATAGAAACTAGAATCCCTCTTCCCCAAGGCAGGTCATAGAAACCAGAACCCCTTTTCTTGAAAGCCAGCCATAAAACCTAAAAATATTTCCCTCTGCCTTTCTGTGTAAAAACTGGCCATAGGGAAAGTATGTGATCTACCTTGTTTGACTGTCAGGCATAAGACCCCCATTCCAGAGAGGGCCCAGCCCCACTCCCAGGAGGAAGTGATGCTTCTCAGAAAGGCCAAGAAGAACCTAGACAGACAGGCTTGCTGGGTTTCCCTACTCAGTCTACTGGCATTAGCTCACACCCTTTTTGTCCAATCCTGTTTCTACATGGCTGTCTGTACTTTGTTGAATCTAAGCATAAAAATGGACACTTCCCCCCTGCATGTTTGGGTCTTCATTCTGAAGGCTTCTGTGCATTCACATTAAATACATTTGTGTGCCTTTTTTTCCAATTAATCTTCCTTTTGCAAGTTGATTTTTCAGTGAACCTTAAAGGGCCATGGGGAACTCCCTCTCCTAGTTCCCTGCAACTGTTACTGCTGCTTTTGCATTACAGTGGCAGAGCTGAGTGCCTGCAACAAAGACCTGTGGACCATAAAACCTTAAATATTTACTATTTGACCCTTTATAGAAAACGTTTGCCCATGCCTGAATCAAGGCATCAATAAAAATGCTAAAAAGGAAAAGGCAGAAAACAGACCATGGAGTATCCCAGCAGAGACTCCCTCCAGGTCAACACATTCGTTAACTGGTTTTCTTTGAATAAGGTCATTCATCCAGACAGTTGTGTTGTCATCCACCGTGTTTGTGTCATATCATACACAATGGTATCGTGAGAAAACAGATCAAAGGCTTTGCTAAGGTCCACATAGGATAACGCTCTGTGCTTCCCTGATCTACTGGACTGGCAATTGTGCTGAAAGTATCCTGATCAGTTTTTGGAGAATTCAATGTAGTTTCTAGAATTCACTGCCACCCTTATAAGGGGCTTACATGCCCATATTCTGATAAAGTTTCTTTAAGTCGTAGCATAGTTTTTATTTTCTTGCAGAATCCTAAAGCAAAACAGAAATAGCCAGGGTGGATTACGATCTCTTCTGACACAAAGAATCTATAGTTTATTATCTTGTTAAGAATGCTCATTAAAAAGAACTATGGGGATGAAGACAGGCAGAAGTAAAACAATTTTGAGTAAGAAGGCTATAAAGGAAGAAAACCCCATGTCAATACACCCCCACCCTGACACCCGTTAACATAAATGGTGGGTACAGCAAGAGAAGAGCACAGCAGTTGGAAGCACTGCCAGGAGGGCTGTGGGGCATGTTTATAACAAGGCAGGCAAGAGCCACCCACAATGACTTCTAATGTCAGCGTCACTCTTCTTGAAGCAGCATCCCCCATAAAGGATATACGTCCTCTCGGGACCTGACTCAGGGTTACTAGAGGGACTTCCTGCCCCCCTTCCCAGAGCGCAAGAGCACGTTACAAGCTGCTGCTGTGGGAGTTGAGCTGGGGTCTGGGGGGACACACGGTGGGGAGGAGGGGACATTACCTGACAGCTCGGATGGCGGCCTTCAGGGTGGGAATCATGTCTTCAATGAGGAAGTCATTCCCGTAGCCTCTGTCTTCCGCCATGGGATCGCCTGTCCCGGCATCTGGGAGGGAGATGCACATATCAGGCAGGACACACCCTTGAAAAGGCTTGGAGACCTCACTGTTCAGTCAGCACTCTCTAAGCCTCTAGATTAGTCAACCCCAAGCCTTTGCTCCCACTTTGTGAAACCACGCAATATTCTCCGGCTGTGACGGTGTTCAGCCTTTCTGAGCAGCCCTTTCTCCCTTCCAGAAGTCTGAGTCAGACGCATGTGCAGCTCAGGACTGGTGGGGGTGGGGAGAGGCTAGAAGGGATGCAAAATGAGTTCCGCTGTCCCAGAGTGGCCCCTGGGAGCGGGCAGAGGGCACATGCCTGCAGTTGGGATTCCTGCTGTCAGTCTCTAACCTGGTGACCTTGGGGAGGCCACTTTCTGAGCTGCGTGTACCTCAGGGGTCTTAGATAAGACTGAGTGGTTGGTGGGGCTCTGGGCCTGGGTGGGCTCAGACACTGAAGACACAGGCTTTCCTGCTTGTCTCTCTTTGCATAAGTAGAAGAGGCACACGAGGCCATTTCTCCTACAGGCCCCACAAGGTGATTTTCTGACACTTCTTCCCACCCCTGGGGGCACTGAGGTCCTGTCTCCAGTTCACTTTGCACCTGGACACTCCCCATCCTTCAAGTTGACCTCTTTGACAATTCATTCACCACGGCCACCCCTGGAAACCACGGTGACACATCCCGAGGCTCCCTAGACAGGATTGGTGCTGATAGTGATGGGGACCCTGGCCCAGGAAAATGGCTAACTTGGGAGCCTCGTGCTCCATGGCTCCTGGGAATGTACGATAGACTCCTCCAGCCCAAAGGACAGGAATGAGGGGAAGCAAGATGTTGGTTCGGGGAGGGAGGGGAGAGTTATGGACCTGAGAGTTCTCAGTGGAGACAGGAGAGGTGAGGGAGGGAGGAGAGGAGGAGACAGAGTCGGGGAGAGGAGAGGCATTACCTTCAGAGCTCTGCCAGAAAGCGTAGGCTTTCATGCGGAAGGCGGTGCGGAAACGCTCTTTATTGTTTAAGCCAACAGGCTTTGGTTCTTTAGAAGGACTTTCTTCTATGGCATCTACATTCAGAGGGGTAAATAGCTTTCCTTTAGTATTGCTACCACGAGGATTAGAAAGGCGAACCCGATCCAAGAGACCCAGCTTTTGGCTACAAAATAAGCAAAAGTGAACAATTTTCCTCCTTCAGTGCAGGCTCTTACAATTCCCCGTCCCTCCATAAAGACTCACACATTCTCCTCCAAGGAAGCATGGGGACCCTGCACTCCTCTGCTGAAGAGTCTCATTAAGCAGTGGAATTGGGCAGGGTGTGACTCAAGTCCTGTTAAGTGGGCTCAAAAACTTACTAACTATTAATATTATACCTTTGGCAAGTTTCTTAACATCTCTGAACTTCCGTTTCCTCATATGCTTAAGTGGAGCTCACGTGAGACTCAGGATAGGAAATGCCTGGATCATTGCAGGACGCAGCAGAGTCATCCTTCCCCACCATGGCCATACTCTGCACCTACAACTTCCTGTCTTTCCTTCCTACCATCCACGGTGCCCGGGTAGTGATTTTACACAGACAAATCCTTATCCAATGTTCTTTGAACAGAACTGAACAACATAAATGACATGAAGCAGAAATCCTTAACCTGCTGTGTACAGACAGACCCCCATGGTGAGAATTCGGAGGTCTGTGAACTTGGAAGGGAGAAAAATATATCTTTAATTTAGTAACTTCTACCTAAAATGTAGCATCTTTTTCAATCACAAATGTGCATTACAAAGCCCAGTAATATCCTCAGTGCCTGTGTCTTTCCACTATAGAAATCACAGGTAATTTTATATCTTGTTATCGAAGGTACTGTTTATGCTCCTTGCTGCTTCAAGATTGTGGCTGCATTCAACCTGCCACTATGCCTGTCATTAAATTCATCACAAACAAGCACACACATGACTGCATCTCAAATTTTTAAATGTTTTGATGACTTTTTCAATATAATAAGTTTCTTCTGTAACTGTATATTCCTTTTTATTTACAGGTTCACTTATTATTGTGAGAAGGGGTCCATGGGCCTCACAATACTGCCAGAAGGGTTCTTGGTACGAAACCCAGTTAATAACTCCAACACAAAGTTGCCCTGGTACCAAAAGCCAGTTGCGCCTTGACTTAAGCCCAGGTCCACCCTTCCCATCTGGCTGACCTGGGGCAAATGTCTGTCCTTTCAAGCCTCAGCCCCTCATCTGTAAAACAGGAATACACGTTCCATTTCACTTGGTTGCTGTGAGATGATGTTTGTCAAGGATGTGACACAGGCTTGGCACACAGCAGGTGCTCTCTAAATATTAATTTTGTCCCTCTGTTTCTCAACCTCTGCCCTCCTGCCATAATGAGCATAAGGAATAAAGTCCTCTTTGTACGGTATTTTCCAAAGAGAGCCACACTGCGTGTTTTCACACATCGACGCAGCAATGTCCTCTTCACTACCCGACACAGGGCTTGGCACACAACAGACACTTATGCACTCATATACTTGTGGAATAAATAACGGTGTGAAAGTAAATGGCTGGTCGAATCAGCTCTGCATGGGTTTGAGACAATGTTGTATTTTTCGAAGAGTGTGTCTAGTTAGGACAGCCATGTGCTTCCACCAGAAGCTGCTGGTTCCTTTGTAGCTTGGTGCAGTGTGGGGGTCGTGGGGTTGGTGCTGCAGAGATGAGGCATGGACACTCCTGCCAAGCAGTCAGCCTCTGCTCTCTGAACACCAGCTCTTCATCTGTTAAGGGAGACGAACAGTATCTGCCTCACGGAGGTTGGGGGAGTATTACATATGATAATATGTGTAATGTTTACTGCCTACAGTCTGGCATACAGAAGGCACTAAGAAATATTTCAAATAACAAATGAGCAAATGGTTGAGTAAATGAATGCTTATATGAATGAGCAGGGGGCACTTACAAGTCCCGGCTCCTTCTAGACCTGTTCTCTCTCACCCAGCACTGTTCCAGCAGTTCAGCTGAGGAACTCCACTAATAACCAGCCCAGGGTAAATGGAAAGAAACTCTAATATTCAGCAGCTCCATCTTCCCTGAATTAAAGTAAAAATGTTTGGAACTGCTTTCCTGACTGGTACTAGATGAATGGCTAATAGGACAGAGACTACATCAGGGCCCGTGGGCTAAAAATAGTGGATGAAGCAGGAACTCAGCTGAACACACAGAGGCTTGCCTGCTCCCCACTGTGTGGAGACCACACATTTCCACGTCTGCCTGCCCCCTTGCATTCGGGCGTCCTAACTAGGCAGGGACTCTGCCTGGTTATCTTTGAACCCAGCACATTCCTCTGCTTAGCACACCTGGATGTGCAACATAGTGGCTAAGATCATGGGCTTTGGGGCAAAACCAGCCTGGGTGAAAGTGTCCTGATGAACCATGTGACTTAGGACACATCACTTATACCCTCTGGTCCCCAGCTTCCATAAGTGTCACTTTGCATGGATGTTTCAGGGTTAAACGAGGCAATGAGTGCCAAGCCCTTGGCTGGCTGTCTGGGATGCAGGAAGCACCCAATAAATGCTGGCTGTCATCATTATCCCGGTAAGTAATCCTCTTCCCACAGAAGCAGTAGGGCCTGTGTGAAAAGGATGGATACAATTTCCTTGGCCACAAAACAAGCTTTTGTTCTTTTTCTTAAATGAACAGAATGAGTTTTGGGGATTTATATATTATTTTACAGTACTTCTAAATGCTAGTCTCAAAACATTCCACATTGTCATTGCACTCCACCTCCATAGGAGGTAAGTATATGAGGAGCTTAATTCTGGATAAACTAAGCAAGACAAAATTAATAGCAGCCGCTTTGTCCTGACTTGAAATTTCAGTATTATTACTGAATATTAGAAAGACAGTGAGAGGACTCTCTTGGTTCTAACTGTGCTGGAACTTAGGATTTTCTTGTTTTGGCCTTTAAATGCTTCCCTGCCACCTCTAGCCATCTAAATTGCTTTGGCCATGTTCACTTAAAACCCCATTGGTCACAGATGACAGTTTAGACGGCGTTAGAAATCCGGGTGTGTCGTCGGCACAAGTCAGAAGCCTCAGCTCAGAATTATTCGCAGCCATTGCACCTAAGAGGCTTATGGAATTCTTCCTGCAGCAAAGGGGATGATCAGCTTATTTCTTAATTGTGTTGCCTGAAATCCAAGACCCCAAAGGATAATTAAGTGGAAGGCAAAGTTCACCCTTGAAACTCAAAACCCATTTCTGCCCTTCTCCGCATGGATTTCCAGTGCATAATTCAGGCCTTGTTCTAGGAGAGTACTGCAGATCTTGCAAGAAAAGCCTTCTTTGGAGCTGATATCAGATTTCCTTGGAAAGCCAGGGTTCCTGATTTGTTAAGTGCAGACCAACAATTCCAAACGTGACTTATAGAAAGTGCAAATAGATGGACTGGGGACCGGAAAGTAAAATCAAGGCTATTTTGTCCTGGGCTCCTGCCTTGGATCTCAGCACTCAGGGAACTCTAGCCAAAGTCAGCTCTGAGCAGTTCCCTGACATTTAGCACTCTGCACGTGCTGTGAACTCCACCTGGGAAAACCTTCATCGCTTCTTTCATCTGAATGACTCTTGTTTTTGTCCTAAACGTGGCCCAAGCATCAGCCCCAAGGCTCACTTATCAGCAAGTCTGGATGGTCAGTGTAGCAACTAAGACCACTTGGACATCCATTCACTGTGTCCCTAGAACACGTTAGGCTTTTCTCATCCGTGGTACTTGGCCACCGTAGTGAAATCTTCGACTCACTAGGGACTGTCCCACTAAATCAGTGGTTGTCCACTGAGGGTGATTTTGATCCCCCAAACCACCACACCTCGCCACAGAGGACATTTGGCAATGTCTGGAGACATACTTTGTTGACACAACTTCTGTTGACCCAGCAGTGGCGGCGAGCACTGCTGCCATCTAGTGGACAGAGGCCAGAGACACGGTTAAACATCCTGCAACGCACAGGAATCCCCAGGAGAATTACCTGCCCCAAATATCAACAGTGCTGATGTTGAAAAATTAGAAGGCGAGCTTTAGGCCAGAAACTACCTTGTTCAATTTGTATATCCAGAATCTAGCCCAGTTCCTGGCATGTTGTAAGCCTGGAAGTATTATTATGATGTTGAATGAAGAGGAATAAAATATTCAGCCTTCTGATTAATAAAATGCATCTAACCTCAGCTGAGAGAGGGAGTGCTGTATTGTGAAAAGAGTGTGGACTTTGGGATAAGAGCACTGGGTTCAAATTTCTGCTTAGCAGTTAACATTCCAACTTGGGTAAGTCATTAACTCTTTCTGATTCAATCTCTTCATCTGTAAAGTGAAGCTAATATTATTGAGTTATTCAACAATGATGTTTTCAACATCTTGTACATGCAAGACTCCTGGTAACTTGCTGAGTATACAGTGGAGATTAAAACAGATGTGGTTTTCAGCCTCCAGTGAGCTTATGATAAAGACATAAAATAAGGAAACAGACACATTTTTTGCTAGAAATCTGACAAGGAAACAGAGCACAGTGAGGAAGAAGAACTGGAGGTCTACTTAGGTAGAGTGGTCAGAGAAGGAGTCTTGAGTGGGTGGGGAGCCCATTATAGTAGTCCAGGAGGAAGGCGATGGTGGTCCAGATATAGAAGCTGAGACCAGAAGGGTGAGAAGAAGCTTGACTTCAAAGAAAAGGGACCAGAGCTCTCCAGACAGAAGAAGCAAGGGGCATGAGGACCAGGATTGTGGCCCCAAAGGGAGGGCTCATGGCCAAAACCTCCTAAGGGAGGAGCGGAGTGGCACCAGATGAGATCAGAGGCCAGATCGGTCAGGGATTTTAGAAATAAAAATAGGATTTAGAAACAAATAGAAAATAGGAATTTCTATTTTATTCTCAGTACACATAAAGGCCACTAAAGATTTTTAAGAAGAGGAAAGTATGTCATGTTTGCAATAAAAAAATACATACCTGTTCATAGCAGTATTATTCACAATAGCCAAAAGGTGGCAGCAACCCAAGTGTTGTCCATGAATGAACAAATAAATAAACAAAATGGATAGATACACAATGGAATATCACTCAGTCTTTAAAAGGAAGGAAATCCTGACACCTGCTTCAACATAGATGAAC